GACATATTGCTTCACCCAGAAGATGTATTTGGAAGAAATAGATCTTTTCTTCCAAAATGGAATTGATAAAAAAAAAAAATAATTAAAAAAAGGAATTGATTTTGCCCTCCCTCCAATAGTAGGAATCGTCACCCTCCTTCTAATCCTGTGCAATTCTTGTCTACGTCCTCCCATAAATCTTCCCAGTGTATTAGAGGCCTCACTCTGGACGTGAACATTCTGTGGGTACTAGTATAGTGCTTCAGCTCTCTACCTTTTATCCTTCACACTCTCTGCAAGACCAACTTAGCTTCTCCCCTCATCATGCCTCCATAAAAGTCCCACTCTGATTTCTTAGATATTTTTTGCAACACTCCTTGCAAACAATCACTATTGGTAACTTTCTGCAACCTACTTTTCCCCACAATATATCTTTATATTCTCCTTTTACACTCTCCACAATTCTGATTCTTCAGAAATAATGGGATATCAGGATTCACTTCCATAGATTATCACCAAAAAATCATAGTTAAAAAAAAAGATGGGATTTGTGTCAAGGAGTAGTTTGGTTTCCCTGAAAGTGCTGTACAATTTCCCAAATGTGATATAACCTAGTCCACTGTCCATATGGCATGACTAAAAAGATACAATATATATATATATACACACACACACACACACACACACACACACACACACTCTGTTTGATTAACTTACTTACTGGGATGCCTGTCCAACTATATATCCAACAATAGTCAACAAGCAACTGCTTACTAAGTGCTGGGAATACAAAGAAAGTGTCTGCCCTCCAGGAGCTTACATTCTGATGCGGGAAGACAAATGGGAGCTGAAAGGCAAGGCAGAGAAAGCAAAAGGCAGCCACACAGAAGCATTATGGTTAAGTCCAGAAAGTCAGAAGTAGAGCTTGGAGAGGAATGAAGGACGGCCAGCCTAGGGCTCTTCTTCAAAACAGAGATTCTGGGAAAGATTCATCAACAACAGAAAGGGACCACAGAAGAAGAGGGAGTGATTTGCTTCTCCACCTCATTTTAAAGAAGAGAAAATTGAAGGGGCAGCTAGGGTGGGGAACAGTCATGGGCTCTTGGCAAGGAGCAAGGTCAGAAGCAACCAGCAACCCAGGAGCAGAACAGAGTCTCAGTTCCAGCTTCCAGACCAGACTGAAGCCTTCAGAGGAATAATCAGGGCAGGAATTCCAGATCAGAGGAATCTATATTGTCACTCTGAACAAACAGAACTTTCCAGCTGACTGATAGTGGTTGAGTCTAGCAGAAATCTACTGGGACTCCAAATGAGGCACTATTGCTTAGACCCAAACTCAGGTCAATAATTTGGAGAACTCAGATTGTGAGGGCAGCAATCAGGGTAGTCATAGCACATCGGGAGCTTTGAAAGTTTCCAGCCTGATCTGTCCTTGAAAGTCTAGAACAACACAACACTCCACACCCCAAGAAAGTAGCAGCAGCAGCAGCTTAGACATTCCCACCAGAAGTACACTGAACCTGGCCCTAACATCAAGTCTGAAGTCATGAAGAAGGCTAGAAGAGTGAGCAAGCCAAAAAGAATATATCCATAAGAAGCTATTATGATGACAGATTTCCAAAGGCAGAAGAAACCAGTAGAAGATAATGACTCTAAAACATCTACAAGCAAAACCTCAAAGAAAAACAAAGACTGAGCACAAGTTCAACTGGAATTCCTGGAAGTGATGAAAAAAGCTTAAAAAAAGTTTTGCCAATGAAGGGAGAAAGCTAGAGGAAAAAATTAGAAAAGAAATTAGAGCTGGGGAAGAAAGAACTGGAGAGGGAATTAATAATTTGTTACAAGAGGTAACAAACTCCCTGAAAACTAGAATAGACTAAATAGAAATTAATGACTCTGAGACAAAAAGAAATACTAAAATCAAAAGACTGAAAAAGTCCCAGATGATAATGTAAAGCATCTTATAGCAAAACAACTGATCTGAAAAACAGATCAAGGACAGATAACTTAAGAATCATCAGATTATGTGAAAATCATGACCAAAAAAAAATCATATTTGAAGAAATCATAAGACTGCCCAGATCTCTTTGAACCAGAGGACAAAATAGAAAAAGAATGTACCAGTCACCTTATAAAGGAAACTCCACAATGAAAATCTTCCAGGAACACCACAGCCAAAATCTAGAATTTCCAGATTAAGTAAAAAATACTGCAAGGAACCAGAAAGAAAAAAATTAAAGTACAAAGGAACCACAAACAGGATCACACATGATTTAGCAGCCACGACTACAAAGAAGGGGAAAGCTTGGAATACAATATTCCAAAAAGCAAAGAACGTATGCTTATAACTAAGAATAACTTACCCAGAAAAGCTGAATATCCACAGGTGGGGAAAATGTATTTTTAATGAAACAGAAGACTTATAAGCTGCATAGAAACTTTGAAGTTTCTACAGGAGTTAAGGGAAACATAAACAAGTGTTTATGTAAACAATGAGTGAGCAATCCAAGGCACTAAACAAAGTTAAACTGTTTGTATTCTAATATGGAGAAATGATATATATACTCTCTGAGCCCTATCAGCAGGCATCATAAAGGGAGGCCTGTGAGTGCTGATCTTAAAAAGAAAGAAAGGTGAGGGAAGAAGAATCCAATGAGAAGGTAAAAGGGAGAAGGCTGGGGGAATTCTCTCTCATAACTAAGGCGTGCGGGTGGAAGTGTATACAAAGAAAGAGGAAGGAGTGCAGGGGTAGGGGGTGACATTTGAACCTCACCTCATCTGAACTGATCAAAGTGAAGAATATACACATACGCATACAAAAAGTTGGGTATAAAACATCTCACTAAACAGGAAACAGGAGGGAAAAGAGAGAAGGGAGGGGAGAGAATAAGAGGGAGAGTAAACTAAGGAAAGGATTAGTCCTAAGCAAAACAAACTCTAAGGATATACAAAAATAGGTACAGCACATCTTTTTTACAGCGGCAAAGAACTGGAAAATAAGGAAGTGTCCATCACTTGGAAAACGGCTGAGCAAGCTATGGTAAATATCTACATATATCTATATCTATATACACACATACATATTTTTATGTGTATGTATACATATATGTACATATATAATTATTATATAATTTATTATGTTATTGTAAGAGATGATGAAGGAGATGGTTTCGGAGAAACCTGGGAAGACTTGCATGAAATGATGTAAAGTGAAGTTGAGCAGAACCAGGAAAACAATTTACACAATGACAACAATATTGTAAAGACAAATAATTTTGAAAGATTTAAGAACTCTGATGATAACAATGAACAACCATAAATCCAGAGGGCTCATGATGAAAGACACTACTTACCTCCTGACACAGTACAGAATGAGACACATTTTTTTTTTTGACATGGCCATTCTGGAAAGCTGTTTTGCTGGACTATACGTGTTTGTGAAAGGGCTTTTGTTTTTCTTTTTCAACTGGGGACAGGGATAGGAGGGAGAGAAGATGGATCTTTTGCTGACTGAAAAAATCTAATTTAAAAAAGAATATTGTATAGTCTTAACATATGCATGAGGGAAGCTGTGGTGGAGGTGAATGCTTAAGGCTTCATTTCGCTCTACCAAGTCAAACACTTTTTCACAATCACACATGATATACACAACAGTACAATGTATGGTCTTTGCCATTCCATCAATTGTGTAACTATGAATGTGTGATCTCCTGTAGAATATGGTTTTTTAAGGTCTTTTGCTCTTCTCACATTTTCACTGAGAGGCTCAGTATGAGCATAGATCATTCTAAAAAATATTATGGTGATGAACAAGTTGGTACAGAGAATGCATTGTGGCCAAAGAGCTGGCCTTGGAGCCAGGAAGACCTGGGTTCAGGTCCTGCTTCGGACATACACTGGCTATGTAATTCTGGAAAATCAAATAACCTCTCAGAACCCCCAGGAAACTTTCTAAGGCTTTAAATGTTACAGATTTTTTTTCTACAGAGAGGAATGGCACCTCTTGGGAAAGGCATACTCACCATCAGGGATGCAATGACTGCTGGTCAAAGTTAGGAGGCCAAACTGAAAGCAAAGGAATATATGAGTATGATAAACAAACTGCTGATAGCTGCTTTGACTTTTTAGGGTACAAATTTAGTTTTTACAAATTTCAGGCCTGCTTACAGCACAATCAGTATTCTGAGGCAATTTAGGATAAATAAGTAACATCTTTCACTTCAAGAGGTGTAGAGAAAGGGGGAATCATTCAAGAGAGAAAAGGGAGGATTTCCAGGGGAATATTTGTTTCTTATTGGAATGCGAGGACATTCCTGTTCAAGGATAGGAGACAAAAGGAGGCGACCAACCACTTTTACAATTATGAAAAAGGACCCTTCAGACAAAACTTCAGGGTGATGTAACAATAATAACTAATAATAGCTAAAATTTATATAGTGCTTACTATGTGCCCAGCACTGTACTAAGTGCTTTACAATTATTATCTTACTCGATCTTCACAACAACCCTAGGAGATAGGTTATTATCACAAAACAAAATTCTGGCCATCCTTCAAGATCTAGCTCAGACATTACTTACCTAATGACTTCAGCTGAAAAAAATCCCTCCTTACTTTGCACTCACATGATGGAATTCAACGTACTTACAAAATTTCAATATACTGACTTGTCCTGTAGTTATCTACATGTGTTTCTTAGCTCTTCCACTGGACTAGAAAATGAGAGCTGTGTCTCATGCAAATGAAAGTGATCTCTTTCTCCTCAAACTTCTCACGCGGTTTTGCCTGAACCTTTGAAATAAAATTATTAGTGTACATTCCTTTATTGGTAGCATTCAGCACACTGCCTTGCACATTGTTGATGATTAATAAACATCTCTAGAATTGAATAAGATACCATTGTTCAACTGAGTAACTTGGGAGCACTTGCTAGTTTACATTCATCACATTTGCAAGTTTCTGTCTCGAATGAATTCGCTGATGCTTAGTAAGTTGTGAGCTCTGACTAAAGGCTTTTTCACATTCCTGACATTTATATGGTCTCTCCCCAGTGTGAGTTCTGTGATGTCAAATAAGCAATGAGCTCTGATTGAAGCTTTTCCCACATTCACTGCACTTATATGGTTTCTCTCCCGTGTGAATTTTCTGATGTTGAACAAGGGATGAGCACTGACTGAAAGATTTCCCACATTCTTGACATCCATAGGGTTTTTCTCCTGTGTGAATTCTCTGATGCTGAATAAGCTGCGAGCTCCAACTGAAATCCTTTCCACATTCACTACATTTGTAGGGTCTTTCTCCAGTATGGGTTCTTTGATGCCCAATAAGGTTTGAACTCCGACTGAAAGCTTTCCCACATTCATTACATTCAAAGGGTTTTTCTCCAGTATGGATTCTCTGATGTTGAATAAGTAGCGAGCTGCAAGTGAAGCCCTTCTCACATTCATTACACTTATAAGGTTTTTCCCCAGTATGAGTTCTCTGATGTTGGACAAGTAGTGAACTGCATCTAAACCTTTTCCCACATTCATGACACTTATAGGGTTTTTCTCTAGCATAAGTTCTCTGATGTTCAATATAAACTTGATTTGGGGGGGACCTTTTGGCATGGATATCATACTTATGGGGTCTCTTTCCTTTACTTTCTTTCTTGGGTATGACAGGATTTCTCCTATATTTATTACATTCCTGGTCTCTTTTTCCTGTGGCAATTTTCTTGTGGGTTGCTGTCATTTGCTTAGAATGTTTCTTTTGGGAAGGGGATTTCTTCAAAATCACTTTTTTGGGGTTTCTCTGATGAGTCTTTACTTTTCCTTCATATTCATAAGCTCTTCTAAAACCAGGGTCCTCAGCACCATTCTTTAAGAATATTTCCGAAGTTGCTCTATGTGAGTCTGTATCTTCTGAAGTGTCCACTTGATCATATAAATGCTTGTCCTCAGTTAATACTCTGGGACCTGAAACAGGAAAAAAGAAAAGGTTACCAATTTCTTTCTTCTCTGAGAAGGAAAATTGCTGAAATGGGACAATATTATTGAAATAACTGCCAATAAATTTGTATCCTTATAGCTCTCAAAAGCTGAAGAGAGGATCACAGTAAGGTTATAGATATCAAGCTGGATGGAACTGTGGGGACCACAGATAAGAAAACTGAGGCCCAGAGAGGTTGAGCCCAAGATCATAAAAGGAGTTAGCTGTAGAGCTGGGATGCATGCCCAGACCCTCTAATTCCAAATCCAGAGCTCTTCCCAGGACACCACACTGAGAGGCTGATCGCCCATAAATGGTAAGACCCACCAGGTGTTCCTATTTATGGATGATAACGTGCTGACTGAATGAAACTCCAGAAAGTTACAGGCCTTCTTCAATTAGATCCACCAATCTTTAAAAAAAGGGTCAGCTTAACAATTCACACAGGGGGAAAAAAACCAAATAGACAAAAAAGTCTACTGCCCAAACTCTGACACGCAGCTAGATGGAAAGGGAAGTGAAGATTAGGGGAGCAGGGACTTGAGATGCTGGGGCAAATATTTTAAACTCATGGGCCAACCCAAAGGAGATTCAGCTGATATGTGCCCAGGGAAACAGTTTGGGAAGATATGGTAGAGATGAATAGATACAGGGAACTATGGGGCAAAAATGGAGTCAGAACAGAGACCTTCAGCCCCCAGCAGACCCAAGACCCACTGCCCTTCCCCTTGCTCCAGTCGGAGATCAGGTCAAGTGTAGGGCCTAAAAATCCTGTTCGTGGGAAAAGGAATAGGGAGGACTGGCTTGCTCAGGGAACTGAGCTTTGATGGAGTATGCAGAAGAAACTCAAAGATGTGATAAAGCGAAGGCTAAGCAGAGAGGTCAGAAGAGGGGAAAAGCAGAACAACAGCTGCATAAGAGGAGGGGAAAGAAGTAATCCCGAAGAGGAAGAAAGTATTATATCAACACAACTTCTCTGCCAATAGGTGTCACTCTCAACTTTTATCTCACGATATAGTCAAAAGAACACTGAATTTGGAGTTGAGACCAGAGCTCAGATCCCAGCTCTGCCTTCTTAACTGGCCATATGATCTTAAACAAGGAACAACACCTTCCTGGGCCTCAGCTCCTCATCTGGAAAATCAGAAGATTGGATTGGGTGATCTCTAAGGACCTTTTACAAGCCTAAATCTAATGATCCCTTACTCTTCTCATTATACAATGGGACTATGGCCATCTGCTCCCATGGGTTGTATTATTGCTATGCAAATAACACATAAATCATCTCTTGAGACCACCATTTATTCAGTTCAGAAATGTATGACAACTGTGACCGAATATCCCCAACATTCAACCTTTTCCCCATCAGTGCTTCTCTGATGCACTGCTACCCTAAGACCCTTCTTTATATTTATCCTCTTGCCTTACAGCCTTTTTAACACCTGGAAAATCTGAGTATTTGAGGAGATAATAACTCCTATTGACTGGCACTCTTTCCCTTACCTGAGCAGGAGCCCCTTAAGGTCTCTTTCTTCTCAGTTCCCTGTAAATCTAGAACCCATAGCTCTTCCCGTTGCTCCAGCTGAGAGATTAGATCAGGTTTGGAAACTGGAAACCTGCTTAGAGGGAAAGAAATGGGACGTGTTGATTTATGTTGGGAACTAAGGCCTGCCCCAGCTTTTAGCACCAGTCTTTCAATCTACAAGGGCCAGATGGGAAGAGACAGAAATATATTCCAAGGAGGGGGAAGAGGACTCAGGACCGAGGAACAGAAGGGCAATAACTTCATCTGGTTTATCTGGGAAACTAGGAAAAATTCCCTAGGGAATTTGTGGGACTGTCCCAAACTATTAGGAAATTCAAGAAAGCTGCTCATTTCCTTCTCTGCAGAAATTATTGCCATATGGAAAGAGGGAGGGGAAATGTCCTGTCTCAGGTCCCAAGGAAAATGAGCACACTCTGATCCCTGGATCACACTCATCTGACCACCTGAGCATTGTCAGGAAAGGTAGTCTTGGAGTCAGAAGACCCAAATTTGAATCTGGACCATCTTTCCAAGACATCAGGTTCTTTATCTTGGCAAAGCTTAACGCTCTTTCTCCTTCCACATCTCCACTGAATTCTACCTCTTCATGATCTCTCTCATCCAACCCCTTCTCTTTTCATACAACCATTACCTCCGTTCAGGGCCCTTAGTAGGGCTTCCCTAGATGACTGCAAAAGCTTCCTACCTGGCTTCCCTCCCTCGAAGCCTCTCCCCTACTCCGTTCTGTCTTCCCTAATGCTGCCAAAGCGGTTTTTCTTCAGCACACGTCTCACAGGTCACGCAGGCACTCGATAAATTTCACTGGATCCCTATCGCCTCGAGGATAACATATTAACTCTTTTGTCTTGAAGCCTTTTACAGCCTGGCCCTGCCCTATCTTTCCAGACTCAAAATTCATTATTTCCCTTCCCTTGCTCCAGTGAAACCAGCCTTCTGTTAATCACATGGTGCTCCAGCTCGCTACTCCATGTCTCTGGACATGTTTGTTCCCCCATGCCAGGAATATACTTCTTCTGCACCTCTGCCTCACAAACTCCCTTTCTCCCTCCAAGACACAACTCACACATTGCCTTCTACATGAAGCCCTTCTGGATCCCCCTGAACTGCTAGTGTTCTCTATCCCTAAAAATGTGTATTTATTCTCTTCATATTTCTTCTGTGTACACCTAATATACATACCTATTATCTCTCCTTTTTTTTTTTTAAGTGAGGCAATGGGATGAAGTGACTTGCCCAGGGTCACACAGCTAGTAAGTGTCAAGTGTCTGAGACCAAATTTGAACTCAGGTCTTCCTGAATCCAGGGCCGGTGCTCTAACTACTACGCCATCTAGCTGCCCCCAAATGTAACCTTCTTGCAAAAGGATTTATATTCCCACCATCTAGCACATGCCTACTCTGGGCATCTTCCCTGGGGGGCTGTCCCCCATGCCTGCAATGCTCTCCCTCCTCATCCCACCTCCTGGCTTTCTTCAAGTCTCAACTAAAATCCTATCTTCCACAAGAAGAAACCTTTCCTCATCACCTTTAATGCTAGTACTTCCTTTTATTTTCTCCAGTTTATCCTGTGTATATCTTATTTGTACATAGCTGCTTGCATGTTGCCTCCCCTATTAGACTGTGACCACCTTGAGGGCAGGGACTGTCTTTTGTCTTTCTTTGTCTCCCCAGTGCTTAGCACAGTGCCTGGCGTGTAGTAGGTGCTTAATAAAATGCTTGAGTGACTGATCTTGGCTCTACCATTGTCCTACTCCACTGTGGCTACTTTGGGAAACTTGCAGATTTCCTCAGATGCAGGCCAGCTGGACCAATTAGGTTACAAGCAATAGGCCCTTATCTGGTGCACATTAGTTTGAATGAGGGATGGTGCTTAACTGGAGACGTCCATGGAGAAGGGGAGAGCAAACAAAGAGGTTCAGGGAAAGGCCACATTAGAGTCAGTCTCAGAGAAACAAAGATACAACCGAATTTCCAGAGAGGCAGGATTCTTCTGTGTATGGCTTGTAGGGCAGTCCAGGCCTTGCGTGAGAGCACAGCAGAGGTAGATAGGGGAGCCATGGCCCAATCAAAAGGCTCTCACGGGACCCAGTATCTAGCCTATACCAGAGCCTGGCCTCTCTTAGTCTGGTATGGGTACACGTGTGCTGTTACACATAACAGGATGCTAAGTATATTGAAGAGGGTCAGATATTTTATAGAGAAAAAGCAAAGTCGCACTCATGCAGGGATGTGCTGAAGCCAGCTCTACACAACTGTTAACTTTTCAGTGTGAATATTTACACTTCAGAAATCATCGATTGACACACATCAAGATTTGACTTACTGTTTTGTTGATTATCTAGAGCTAGGGGTGGGGAACCTGTGGACTCAAGGCTACATGTGGCCCTCTAGGTCCTCAAGTACGGCTCTTCGACTGAATCCAAACTTCACAGAACAAATTCCCTAATAAAAGGATTTGTTCTGTAAAATTTGGACTCAGTCAAAGGCTGCACCCAAGGACCTAGAAGGCAACATATGGCCTCGAGGCCACGGGTTCCTCGCCCTCCCCATTCTAGACTTAAGAAAGTGTTAATAAGGCAGATTAAACTTAAATATGTGTGTGCATACATTTTTTTTTTCCTGAGAGTCCCGCTATTAAACATTTACCAACAAACCCCTGGTCTGATGTCATAAGCAGAGAGGTGCCAATTAGATACACATGAAGCTAAAAGATTCTAGCTATGAGAAGCTCCAGGAGAAGGGTAAGGGTAGGGGTACCAGGAAGGAACAGGTATATCTAGAATAGAAACAGCCTGTCCAACAGACAGTCTGTATATTTTCAGTAAAACCTACACTGTTAAATTTCAGTACAGCTAGGTCCCGGTTAACATGAGTCATACATCCAGGTAGCTAGGGGATACGGTGGATAGAGCACTGGGCTTGGAATCAGGAAGACTGACATTCATGAGTTCAAATCTGGCCTGCCACACTCGTCTGGGCAAGTCACGTAACCCTGTTTGCCTCAGTTTCCTCATCTGGAAAATGGGTTAGAGAAGGAAATGGCGAACTCCTCCAGTATCTTTGCCAAGAAAACCCCAAAATGAGGTCACACAGAGTCGGACATGACGGAAAGGACTCCACAATAATGAATCCTGTGAAATGGAATAAGAATCAAAGTTATAATTATATAACATATGGTAACTGGTTCTAGCCCAGTGGCATTATACAGTGCAAATTTGAATAAAAGTCCACTTCACAAGACTCATCATTTGCACTAATAGGAACCTGGCTGTGATATAAGGCTGGGTTTCTACCCCTTGAAATCTAGAACTGGCCTAATTTATTGAACTACCTGCCTCACAAGGTCATTTGGAGGGAAGCAAGCAAATCTTAAGATGCTACCTACATTTGAGTTATTATTATCAACATGCGGCAGCCTGTAGCACAGGGATTCTTAACTTTTTTGTGTGTCACAAACAGACCCTTTTGGAAGTCTGAAGACTATGGACTCCTTCTCCAAATAATGCTTTTAAATGCATAAAACACATAGTATTACAAAGGAGATAAACTATACTGAAATAGTAATCAAAATATCTTAATTTTATTGACCCCAGGTTAAGAACCCCTGAAGTGGTGGATAGGGTTGGAGTTGACTAGCCTTCGAGTCAGGAAGATCTAGGTTTAAGCCCTGCTTAAGACATACGCTAGCTATCCAACCACGGGCAGGTCATTTAACTTCTCAATCGGTTCAGGCAGTTCTCTACAATTAAGTTATAGATCTGCATTTCTGGAGTCAGTCAACAAGCATCTATTAAATGCCTACAACATGCCAGGCACTACACAAAAGCACTTGGGATCTGAAGAAAGGGAAACACTCCTGCCCTCAAGGAGCTCACATTCTAAGAGGATCAGAATCAGTCACCAAGAGACAAGGACAGGGGCAGCTAGATGGAGCAACAGATACAGCACCAGCCCTGGATTCAGGAAGACCTGACTTCAAATCTGGCCTCAGACACATACTAGCTGTGTGACCCTGGGCAAGTCACTTCACCCCACTGCCTCACCAAAAAAAAAAAAAGAGAGAGAGAGAAGGACACAATCACCAAGAATCAGTCACCAAGAGAAGGATTTCCAGAGAGGCAGGATTCTTCTGTGGCAGAGCTAGTGAGACAGTCCAGGGAGAAGGGCAAGAACACGTAAATAGTATCCAGATGGATACAAAATGAACAGCAGTTTCCACACTAGGCATTTCCAACACAGATGACATTACAGGAGGCAGTCAGGATACCAGGAAAGACAGGTTTGTAAGTCACAGTTCTTAACACAGGGAAACAGCTCTTACCCAGGGACAGCAGGTTCCCATAATTCTCCAGCATCACATCCCTGTAGAGATGCCTTTGAAAAGAGTCCAGATGTTTCCATTCTTTCCTTGTGAAGTACACAGCCACATCCTGGAATGTCACCGCCTGAAACAACATATGCCTGCTGTTCCTGGAGCATTTCTCCGTCCCAGGAATCCAGGAAGAATTGGCCACGACCACTGGGGACAGAAAAGGAGAGGAAGGGGTAAAAAGAGTTATGTGTTCTCATGTGTGCAGGGACTAGCACTGCAATGGATCTTCAGGGGTCATCCAATCCAACGTCCTCATTTTGTAGGTGACAAAACTGAGGCCCAGAGAGGTTAAGTAACTTGCCCAAAGTCATATAAGTAAATGGTAGAGATAGAGGGTGAACCTAGGTTGAATCCAAACCAAGGATCATTCCATTACACCTTGCTAGTAATCCCCATGGGGAAGCTAGGTGGTGCAGTGGATAGAGCGCCGGGCCTGGAGTCAGGAAGACTCATCTTCCTGAGTTCAAATCTGGCCTCAGACACTTACTAGCTGGGTGACCCTGGGCAAGTCACTTAACCTTGTTTGCCTCAGTTTCCTCATCTGTAAAATGAGCTGGAAAAGAAAATGCAAAGCACTCCAATATCTCCGCCAAGAAAACCCCAAACGGGGTCGTGAAGAGAGACCCGACTGAAACAACTGAATAACTAATCCCCAAAGCTAGAGAAGATTCATAGGAAGTGAGAACAACTCAAATGATCAAGGGGATAGGGTATGAGGGTGTTGCTGCATGACAGAGAATTTAAACACTTCTTACCACCCCATCCTGCACTCCCCAATACACAAATATCCTTTGGTGTCACTGAAAAACAAAATCAAAGGTGGATAAATCTGTAGGTCTGACCTACCATGGTCAACTGTATGTCCCCCAGTAAGGTTCAACAAGCCCCTGGCTGGGTCTTTTTAAGAGAATTATTCACAAATTTAGACTTTGGGGTGAAGGTAGGAAAAGAATTACTTCCATATTAATAATAATCATCACTCACATTTCTGAGGCATAGTGGGGAAAGTACTATATCTGAAGTCAGAGGAACTGGCTTCAAATCCCCAGTTTTCCACTTACTCTGCACAAACTGGGATAATTCACTTCAATCTCTCTGAACTTCCTCATCTATAAATCTGAGCTTCCTCAACTACAAACAGAGAAGGTTAGACAAGATGTTCTCCAAAGTTCCTTCCAGCTCTAAACTTACGATACTGGGATCCACCTGAATGAAGGTTTACAGAGTTTTTCTCCCCATAACAACCATGTGATAGAGTAAATGCTAACATGATCCCCATTTTACAGATGAAGAAGTTTAGGTTTAGAAAGGCAAAGTGATCTGTCCCAGGTCAAACTGCTACTGTCATCCCAGGTCACACAGCTACTGTGTGAATCTTTTTTTTTTTACCTCTTTATTTTTTTTTATTAATTTATTTTGATTTATCAACAATCACTTCCATATGTTTTTGAGTTTAAAATTTTCCTCCCCCTTCCTCCCCTCTACCCAATACGGCACACAATCTGATATAGGCTATACATTTACATTCCTATTAAACATATTTTCACGTTAGTGAAGCTGCAAGTAAAAAATTAAAACCAATAGGAGGAACCATCAGAAAGAGGAAACAAAACTCAACAGAAGGGGAAAAAAATGACAGCAATTCAACTTCCATAGTTCTTTCTTTGGATGTGGATAGCATTTCCCATCACGAGGCCTCTGGAGATGTCTTAGATCCTTGTATTGCTGAGAAGGGTTAAGTTTATCAATATTAGTCATTGTACAATGTGGCTGTTATTGTGTACAAAGTTCTCTTGGTTCTGCTCACTTCACTCAGCATCAGACCATATAAGTCTTTCCAGGTTTTTCTGAAGTCAGCCTGTTCATCATTTCTTATAGCACAATAGTATTCCATTACATTCATATACCACAACTTGCTCAGCCATTCCCCAACTGATGGGCATCCTCTCAATTTCCAATTCTTTACCACCACAAAAACAGCTGCTGTGAATACTTTTGTACATGTGGGTCCTTTTCCCATCTCTTTGGGATACAGCCCTAGAAGTGCTATTGCTGGATCAAAGGGTATGCACCTTTTTATAGCCCTTTGGGCACAGTTCCAAATTGTTCTCCAAAATGGTTGGATCATTTCACAACTCCACCAACAATGCATTAGTGTTCCAATTTTCCCACATCTTCTCCAACATTTATCATTTTCCTGTTTTGTCATGTTGGCCAATCTGATAGGTGTGATGTGGTACCTCAGAGTTGTTTTGATTTGCATTTCTCTAATCAATAATGATTTAGAGCATTTTTTCATATGACTGTAGATGGCTTTAATTTCTTCATCTGAGAACTGTCTGTTCATATCCTTTGACCATTTATCAATTGGGGAACAGCTTGTATTCTTATAAATTTGTCTTAATTCTCTATGTATTTTAGAGATGAGGCCTTTATCAGAGACACTGGTTGCAATACCGTGTGAATCTTGGTCAAAGCCAGAATTCAAACTCATGTCTCCTGGATCCAAGTCTAGGGCTACCTTTCTACTCTTCTCTTGCCCAAGGCCTCCAGGACTGGGATAGTAGTGGGATTGATGCCATCTCAGACAAGCTGTAGTGTCTGATGGACATCTTCATTCTGAACAGGAACTAGAGCAGGAAAGTCCCACTAACTGGTGTGGGAAGGGCCCAGATTTCCCCTCAACAAGAGGACAATGGGGATTCCAGTCTGCCTCACTGGGGAAGTCACTGGTTCTATCTTCCAAGTGCTGCCCATGCTGCCCATGTTAAAATATCTCACCACCCAAAGGTCTCCTGGTGGAAGAAGGCAAAGCTAGGTTCAAACCAATGCAATACCCCCCCCACCACCACCACACACAGACACAGACACAGACACACACACACACATGCTTCCAAAGAAGGTTAAGATAAAGCCAATAGGAACCCCTTTGCCCAGAACTAAGCACTTGAAGAAGCAGTCAGAGACTTCAAATACAGAACACCATAACTCTGAGATGACTGAAGGACAAAGAGGAGGCAGCAGGGACTATCCATAGGGACTCTCTCAATTGGTAGAGGGACCTAGGGTTTTAGAAAAGAAGCACAAAACCCTACATTGACTATGTGGGGCAGAGAAGCTCCAGAGAGATATCCAGAGAGAGAGAAAAGACAAGGCCAACAGTAGGGGACCTCGGGAAAGGACAGCTCACCTGCAGCCTGGGCATCATCGAGGGCACAGCTACCACTGCCTGATCTCCTCCACTCCCTTGGGATGGTAAGCAAAGGGCAGGCACTTAGAGACAGGCAGAGCTGAAGGAAGACAGGGTGCTATGAGTGAGACTAGCTGTAGCCTGAGGTTCATTCACCCAATCCCCCCTGGACTACAAAGAATTTGGGGGCCCAAAGTTGCTTCTCTCACAAAACCTCACAGTCACTAAATCACCATCAGCCCCCACATCCTGAGTCCTTAAAGAGTATGGGCTGTGCAACTAGGTGGCGTAGCGGATAGAGCACCGGCCCTGGATTCAGGAGGACCTGAGTTCAAATCCAGCCTCAGACACATAGCACTTACTAGCAATTAACTAAATGGTGCTGTGGATAGAGCACTGGGCCTGGAGTCAGGAAGACTAATCTTCCTGAGCTCAAATCTGGCCTCAGGCACTTACTAGCTGGGTGACCCTGGGCAAGTCACTTAACCCCACTGCCTAACCGCCCCCCCCCAAAAAAAGAGTATGGGCTATGGGTAAGGCACCACAAGGGGTCATGAAGGAAGGAGATGCCATTGTACCCATTCTAGAAGATCTCACAAATGTTTGAAGAGAATCAGTACAAGATACCAACAGATACACCACTCCAGTCTAGATAGTCAACCATCCGGTGTCCCAAGGGTGTCCATTCATGGCCACTGTCATATTCTAGCTTAGTAAGAGCATGCCATCTCCTTTGCAATGTGCTATAATAGAAAGGGCATTGGAGTTTCAAAACACTAATAACTGTAGAAATGTAAATTAAAACAACTTTGAGGTTCCACCTCACACCCATCAGATTGGTAAAGCTGACAAATAAAAGAAAATGGCAAATGTTGGTGGGGCTTTAGGAAAACAGGTACATTGATCTACTTTTGGTGCAACCACAAATTGGTCCACCCATTCTGGAAAGCAACGTAGAACTACGCCCAAAAATTTACTAAACTGTTATTACAGGAGAAATATCTTCTGTTTGAGTTCATGTGGTAGGTAACTGCTGCCAAAATATATCTACCACAACACAGAAATTACAGAGCTAAAAACCTAGGTTTTATTATGCTTAGCCAAGGCTTCAGAGGGATAGAAAAATAACCCCTAAACAGAAAGCAGGATTTTCTGATAACCTTTCATAGAGGGAATTATATCAGAAACACAGAGAACCAATGCCTTTACATCTTATACATTCTCTTAGGCTATAAAAGATAGATCTATAAACCTTCCTTCAATGTCATAAGCTTAGTTGAGCAGTTATAATATCATTCACCCCCTAAGGAAACAGACCTAGTCAGAGACTCCATAGGAAAATTAAGTCAGGTTACAGACTAAACACTGAGTCTGCAAAATCTTACTCTTATTAAAACTTCAAGGCTGTATTTTAAAGAAATCACAATGGGCTAATTGAAAGGAAGGCATTAATATGTCATAATGTCGGGGAAATTCTTCCACAAATAAAATATTTTAGGGTGTTTTTAAAAATGCTATATTTCCCTTCTTTGCCTCATTTGTTTTCTTATGTCAGTAATGTCAAAAGCATCCCTCTAACACTATTACTTTATGAGTCAGGTTTTGGGTGGGTAAGATTAATATTAACAGAAAAGAGGCTTTTACTTAACCGAAAATTGAAAGAGGAATGGATCTGAACCCTAAATAATAAAAATTAATAAAAGATAAAAAATTATTATCACACTGTGTATATATTTTAATCTCCCAAAACCATTACTAGGCTAGGCGTATGCTAAATATATGCAACAACACTCTTATGTTTAATACACATTATTAATATTTTCTCTACCACTTTCTTAAGACAAACAAAACAATAAATCAAGACACGATTTATGGTATTTGTTGTTGCCAATTTCTGAGGTATAAATGATGAATATTCGTAAATCAGCTAAAGATTTAAAAATCAATAGCCACTTTAAGCTGGCTCCAGTATACCCCATAACAAAGTGTATACCCCAAAAAGACTGAAGAAAAAGGAAAAGGACCTATAAGCACAAAAATATTTATACTAGCTCTTTTTGTGATGGCAAAGAACTGGAAGCTAAGAGCAGGTACATAAGCTGGTGACTGGCTGAATAAACTACAGCAATTTAATATAATGGAACTCTGCTGTGAGGAATGTTAAGGAGGTGGTTTCAGAGAAACTTGGGAAGATCTGTAATGACCTGATGCAAAGTGAAATGAGCAGAACCAGAAGAACAATTTATACAGTACAAACACTGTAAACACAACTTTGAAAGACCTAAAAACTCTGATCTACACAATGACAAACCACAATTCCAAAGAACCCATGATGAAACATGTTACCTGCCTCCTGAAAGAGAGGTGATAGACTCACAATAAAGACTGGGGTATATTTTAGGACATGGCCAATGCTGGATTTAGTTTTTCTTTACTCTGCATGATTATCACAAAGATTTTGGGGTTTTCTTTTTTATTGGGAAGATGGGAATAAAAAGGAGGGAAAACAGATTTTTGTTTGTTGAAAAATAATAAAATATTTTAAAAAAACATTGGAGTTGGGAGTCAAAGTACCTGCGTTTGACTTCCAGCTCTGTGACCTTGAAAGAAACCTCATCCAGAGCCTGACTGTAGAATGGGGATAATCATACTTGCATAATTCACATTTCACAGGGCTGTTGTTGTAAGGAGATGCTATGTAAACCTCAGTGATACCTAAATAGGAGTTATTAAAACCCAGTATCAAGTTGGAACATCTTTTTTCACCTCAAAGTTGTCTGTGTATCATCATCATCATCATTATCATAATGTCTAAGTTATTATTTTTATTGAACTACAAAGCTCAACATGGACAATGAGAGGGAGACAGAGAAGAATAAGATCGCTACCATCTTGGAGCTCAGTCTAATAGCAGAGATATACAATAGAGACATAGTAAAATGTGGTTATGCATAACAGGAATAGTATGAACAGATACTATGACTACACAGAGAAGAGAAAGATCACTTCCTGTTGTATAGATACGAGTGCATGTGTAGCTGGGCACAATTTCAACAGGTGGGGATTTGAGGAGGGCCTCCTATATAGCAGGCTCTGAGTAAATATCGATTGCTTAATAAATATCTGTTGAGCTCTTTTTATAATAGCAAAAAAACCCTGGAAATTAAGGGGACACCCATTTATTGGGGACCGACTGAACAAACTTTGGTCTACTAATGTAATGTCATATTATTAAACCACAACGATGAACTGGACAGTTACAGAATAAACTGGGAAGACTTCTACGAACTGATGCAACAAAGTGAGAACCAGAACAATATATACAATGACAAAAACATGAAGAGAAGCAACTTTGAAGAATTTAGAAATCAGATCAAAGCAATGATAATGCAAAATTCCACAGGAATGAAAGATACCAGAGGCTACCTATATACTGAAAAAGTGACAAGTTTAAATGCAAGAGATGGATATTTTTGGACTGGGCCAAGGTGGGAATTTGTTTTGCTGTACTATACATTTTATGAGGTTCTTTTTCCTGTATTATTCAATGGGGGGAATGGGAGGGAGAGATAACAAATACCTATAAATAAATTAATATTTGTTGATTTAATATAATAGGATAAAAATGATACTTCATTAGTCTGACATCTGAAGCTCTATAACCTGGCTTCAACTTACCTTTCCAACTTTATTTCCCTCTATTCCCCTTCATTAACTATATTCCAGCCACACTGGAAACCTAGCTTTTCCCCAGACTCATTCTGCCATTTTCCGTCTCCATCCCTTTGTCCTTTATGCCTGAAAACACATCCCCTTCTCACCTATACATAAATCTTTTTTTTTCCCCTTCAGGGCTCAGTTCAGGTGCACCCTTCTCTAGGAGGCCTCCCCTATGCTTACCTAACTAGAAATAATCTCTTCCTCCTCAAAATTCATTAGGACACTCTGTCCAGACTTTTCCTTTGCCCCAGTTGCACTTTACTTTAAGCCACAGATATTTGTATGCAAATGAAAGGACCTTTTCCCCAAAGTCTTTAAGGACCTTGAAGGCAGGCCTTGCTATTTTCCATCTTTGTATCCCAAGTGCTGAATATGATGCCCTGTGTGCAGAGGGCACCCAAACATGTATTGATTGAATGTCCTGTGAGTAACAGTACAATCTGGTTAGAATAGTTGGGAGGCATGAGAGAGTGATGGAAAGAGGTGTGAACTTGGGAGTCAGAGTACCCAAGTTCAATTCCTAACTCTACCACTTTCTAGCTACTGGTTTGGGTTTTTTGTTTTTGTTTGTTTGGAAAGCAATGGGGTTAAAAAGAGTCGCCCTGGGGCACCAGAGATAGCAAGTGTCTGAGGCCAAATGTGAACTCAGATTCTCCTGACTCCTGGCTGGTGCTCTATCCACTGTGCCAGTTGGCTGCCCCCTGGCTTAACATTTTTGGTGTGATAGTTCCCTTTGGCAAAATGGCAAAAAACCTCCTTGGAATAATGTTTCAACTGCATTTAAAAAAAATGCATATGATTAACAAAGGAAACCAGTTATATTAAAATATGATTTTAAAAGTATATAAAAAGTTCATGGACCCCAGGTTAAGAATTCCCGATAGCTAGATGGGACCTTAGGCAAGTCGATTCACCATTCTGAGCTCGTATCCCAATCTGTCAAATGGAGCCCATAATCCCCGTCCTTCTCCCCAAGCTGTCCTAAAAATCTAAGTCCAGAATGCCTTCGATAAGTCTTTGTAAACTTTGTAAAAAGCCCCGGGCTATTAACTCTTCATTATTCTTTAAGTGCCAAGTCCCAGTAACTCAACTGGGCCGACCCCAGTCCCAAGGGCCTGAGGAAGCAGAGGCAGCTTGGAGACAGCTGGTGGCACCAGCACAGAGGGTACAGTTAAATTTCCATCGCTGCTGGTCTTTACGGTAAGGACGAACCTATCTTCCCACCCCTCCCATCCCCCAAGGCTGGGTTCCTAGCCCCAGGCACCAACCCTATTCTCCAGACATGCCCCCTTCCACACACAGCCCTAACCCATGCAGAGCAGGTAGGGCTTTACACAAGGACTCTCGACACGGAGGCGGGGAGGGCTCAGCTGCAGCACGCCGGCCCCGCTCCTCCGCTACACAACCCCACGACCATTGCCCCGCCACCCAGCTTCCTCCGCCCCACCCCTAAATGCCATCCCTTCCCGGGGTGTGGGGGTCCGAGATCGGAACTGCACCGCGCCAGGCTGGCTTTTTTAGGGCAGGCACCTGGATCCGGGGCCAGTGCTCCCGGCTTCCCCACCCAGGTGAGCTTCTTCCCGCGGCGAGTCTCCGCAGGGTCCCCTCCAAGCAGCCGCCAGAAACCAGTCTCCGTGCCACAGCCACTCCGGGCCTCTCCCCAGCGGAGAGCAGAGACGTGACGGAGGGGGGCAGGGCCTCCGCGAGTGCGCGTGCGCGCCTCCCCCTGGGGGAAGTGGGGGAGTGTCTGTGCCGGCCAGTTCACTTTGTGTGAGTCTATCAGCCGGCCTGACCACCTGGCCCAGGGAGACACCAGGGTGGGGACAGAGCGAACGTGGAGTAACCTGACGGAGCACTTCCGGGCTGCTCTAGGAACCCGGAGGACTGATGGTCTTGGTGGTTTGACCGTTTGCCCTGAATGGAGCTGACCCCTGGGGACCTCCTGCGTTCTTGGGCAGCACCGGCTGCTTTCTGCCTGACTCCCTCTTGCACTTCTCGCCTTCCCCTCCCTCTGCGCTCCTCGCCCCTTAACTTTCTCCTGTTGCAATTATGATGATAACAACCATTAACTCATTTCAATAGCGCTCTAAGATTTACAAGAAACAACGATCCTGGTTTGTAGCCCTTGGATGAATGCATATGCCCATTTTACAGATGAAGATATTGAGTCTCAAAGAGATGAGAAAAGGACTTGGCCAAGGTCACACGGGTAACAAGTAGCAGAGCCATGATTCCACAGTCCAGGACTCTTTGCTCTGTGCTTGTTGACTCTCATCCTATTTCCCCCAGACCCTCTCTTCTTCTTCTGCTTTCTTTAACATTCCCTCAGCCTTTTAAATACACACCTCCTTATCCTTCCTCTCCTCCACTGCGTCCTAACCCCTTTCCTTGGACTTGGTAAAACAGAGCTTTTTTTTTTCCCCCCCTTTCTTCTCTGCTCCAGACCCTAGCACCAGAAATCTATAGCTAGGGAGCCCACAAAAAAGGCAAGTCCTCCGAGCAGCCTAGAGTGGCCCGCCCTAGAGCCCCTCCCACTCTCCCCGTTAGGAAAGGAAGTGTATAAATCGTTTCCGGCTCCTGTGAGGGAGACCTTTACTCGACTTGAACAGGAAGTTATAAGTTGTGTGATTCAGAACTGGAAGTGACTTTAAGGGATAATATCTCACCACCCATATTTCAGAGGATGACATTGAGGCCTAGAGGAAGGGAAATGACTTGCCTAAGGCCACACAACTAGTCAGTGACGGAGCCAGTATTTGAATCCAAGTTTTCTGAACCCAAATCTAAGACTACAACATCAGTTTTTAACGTCTCTCTCTCTTCCTTGTCATCCCCTTACCTCTTTTCTCTAATTTCTGCCCTTGTGACATTTGGAAAGTCACAACTTGTCTGAGCCTAGATTCTTATCTGGAAATAGCAATAGTAATTTATAGTAACTTATTCTTCCAACTTTACAAGGTTGTTGTGAACAAAGTGCTTTGGAAATCAAAAACACTGTAGAAAACGAAAGCGGTAATTATTACCCTCTTCCTAGTCACCTAACTTTTGAATCTTGAAGTTTTCTTTGGAGGTAGGAATTAGGGAGAGGAGAAGAGTCAGTTATTTACTATTAGGTCACAGCATCCCAGATTTGGAAGAGTTCAAAGAGGAAATCTAGTCTACCTGAACAGGAATGTCTTCTAAAATATCCTAAATAAATTAACAATCAGCCTCCACTTGAAGGTATTTCTAATCTTTTTCCTTCTTTCATTCCTATAGTTATCCCACATTACACCTTCATTACCACTTACCTGGATTATTGTAGTAGTAGTCTAACTGTTCCAGGTGACCATGTTCATTCTTTTCAACAATCAATGTTTTACACAGTGGCTCAAGTAGTATGAGGATAATAATATGATCTATTTCACAGGGTTGTTGTGAGTATGACATGAAATAAGCTCCCAAGATTTTGGGACAAGAACTCATTTTTTGATAAAAACTGCTGTGAAAACTGGAAAGCAGTAGGGCAGGAAAGAGATATAGACCTATATCTTACACCATATACCAAGATAAGGTGAAAATGGGTACACAATTTAGACATAAAGGGTGATACCATAAGCAAATGAGGGGAGCATAGAATAGTTTACCCATCAGGCCTATGAATAAGGGAAGAATTTATGACTAAACGAGATAGGGAGCATTATGAGATGTAAAACAAATAATTTTGATGACATTAAATTTGAAAGATTTTACACAAACAAAACCAATGCAATCAAGATTAGAAGGAAAGCAGAAAGCCAGGAAAAAAATTTTACAGCAAGTGTCTCTGATAAAGGTCTCATTTCTCAAATATACATATTATATACATGATAATATATAATTTTAATATATAATAATTATAAGATATATAAGTTTATAAGATACAAGTAATTCCCCAACTGATAAGTGGTCAAAGGATATGAACAGGCAATTTTCAGATGGTGAAATCAAAGCTGTCTATATATGAAAGAGTGGTTTAAATCACTATTAATTAGAGAAATGCAAAATAAAACAACTTTGAGGTACCACCTCATTATACCTATCAGATTGGCTAATATGATAGAAAAGGAAAATGATAAATGTTGGAGAAGATATGGGAAAGCTGGGACACTAATGCACTGCTGGTGGAGCTGTGAACTAATCCAACCATTCTGGAGAGCAATTTGGAACTATGTCCAAAGGGCTATAAAATTTTGCATACCCTTTGATCCAGCAATACCACTACTAAGTATGTATCCCAAAGAGATCCAAAAAAAGGGGGAAAAGATCTATTTGTACAAAAATATTTATAGCAGGTCTTTTCATGGTGGCAAAGAATTGCAAATTGAGGGGATTTCCATCAACTGGGGAATGGCCAAGCAAGTTGTGGTATATGATTATAATGGAATACTATTATTCCATAAGAAATGACAAGCAGGCAGATTGCAGAAAAACCTGGAAAGATTTACATGAACTGATGCTGAGTGAAGTGAGAAGCAGAACCAGGAGAACATTGTACACAGTAACAGCAATATTGTATGATCATCAACTGTGAATGACCTAGCTATTCTCAGCAATACAATGATCCAAGACAATTCCAAAGGACTCATCGTGAAAAATGCTATCCACCTCCAGAGAAAGAAATTATGGAGTCGAATGCAAATTGAAGCATACTATTTTTCACTTGTTTTATTTTTTAATGGGTTTTTTGGTCTGTGTTTTCTCTTACAACATGACTAGTATGGAACTTTCTCCTCCCACTAATGATATCACTGTGAGAATAATCAATTTTATGCAGAGATCTGGTCCTTACCCTTTTGTTCTAAAATCTTCAGTAGCTTCCTACCACCTTCAAAAAAAGTTAAAGTCTGGTAATTGGAGGTCCTTATCTCTGTAACTGGAATCACCTAACATTTTCAGCCCTAATCTTACATTACTCTCTGCATTCTGTGTTTCATCCATACTGGACAACTCTCTGTCCCCTGAATATGCACTGTTTTCTCACCTCCCCACCTTTGCTTAGACATGCCTATGTCCAGAATATCTTCCATTTCTCTTTTCCAGTTTGATTCTTTGTCTTCTAATTATCTACATCTTTTTTCATAATACTTAAATTTAAGAAATCTTTTATTGGTTCATTCTGTTTTTATACAACAATCATTTCTCAACAAACCACTCCAAGTTTCTCCCCTTATCCTTCCCCACTATCATTGTGATCACCAAAAATTAAGCAAAAACATCTGCTATAGTGATGGAAACTGACAGAGCATGTAATAGATACCTGATCAGGCATCTCAGGTTTGAGGTTAGAATGAAATGAGATTCTTGGGGAAGAACTGACAGTTAAGAAAAGGAGTTAGTCCATCAGTCAATGAACATTTATTAAGCACCTACTATATGCCAGGCACTATGTTAAGTACTGGGAACAGCAGTCTCTGTCCTTGAGGAGCTCATAATCCATTGGGGGAGACAGTATGCAAGCAACTATATAGAAACAAGCTATATAAAAGATAAATTGGAGATAAACAACAAAGGGAAGGCACTAGTATTAAGGAGGATCAAAAAAGGCTGCACACAGAAGGTGAGATATTAGCTGAGACTTGAAGGAAGCCAGGGAGGCCAGGAGGCAGGGGTGAAGAAGGAGAGAATTCTAGGTGTGGGAAATAGCCGGTGAAAATGTGCAGTCTAGAGTCTAGGATACCTTGTTTAAGGAACAGGACCACTGCCACTGGATCACAAAGTATGTGATGGGGGTCATTGTAAGGTACAAAAGACTGCAAAGGGAGAGGTTTTGAAGGGCTTTGAACACTAAACAGAGGATTTTATATTTGATCCTGTATGCTGGAGTTTAACAAGTCGGAAGGCCGTATGGTCAATCCTGAGCTTAAGCAAGATCACTTGGCAACTAAGTGCAAGGTGGATTGTAGTGGGAGAAATTTGAGACAGGGAGACCAATCAGAAGGCTATTGCAATAATCTAGGTGTAATAATGAGGGTCTGTACCGGGATGGTGGCAGTAGCAGTGGAGAGAAGGCACACACACACACACACCCATTCCACATGTAGGATAATACTTTATGCCCACAAGGACTGGACTCATTGGCCATTCCCTTGTTACCTGTGCATATAGTGAAATATTATTGCATCATAAGAAATTATGACTCTGAAGAATTCACAGAAGCATGGGAAGGCATATTTGTGCAGCACCTGTGCTCTGAGTACTGCTATGGAGATGAGAAAGAAAAACAGAGACTACTTCAGAGTTCACCAGTTGGTAATGTCTTTGAATATGGATTTCTGGGACTATGTTTTTGGAAGCTTTGGGGAGAAAGAATCCAGAAACCTGGAAAAGCAGCCATTCTTGTTCCTCACAGCATGAGAGGAAACTCAAGGAGGATTAAGTAGAGTTTCCAATCTCCAGATGCCATCTCCCTCCCCTTTTCTTCTCTACCTGATGAACTCCATTCATAGATGATGGTAATCAAGATGAGGAGTGACCTTTCCTATAGCCTCCATCCCTAGCTGAGAACTGAAAGTACATGATGGTGAGACTACAGAGTAGCCAGAAGGAACTTTGCTTTTCCCTTCCTTTGCCTCATTCTTTTTTTCCACTTAATAGTATTTTATTTTTTCTAATTCCATGTAAAAATAGTTTTCAACATTCACTTTTATAAGATTTTGAGTTTCTAAATTTTTCTCCCTCTCTCTCTTCCCTCCCTCCTCCCCAAGACAGCAAGAAATCTGATATAGGTTACACATATGTAATCATGTTAAACATTTCCACATTAGTCATGTTGTGAAAGAAGAATCA